GAAAGCCCGGCGGCCTCGGCGGAGACGCGTCTGGAACCCAGCGAGCTCCGCCAGCGTGGAGGATGCGTGCTGTCGGGGCCAGAAACCGCATGTCTGCGGGCTGGCGAGGTGCAGACAGCCAGAGGCGCCCTCACTGACCAGCAAGCCGCGGCGTGTGCGGGCCAGACTGGAGGGGCGCGGGCGGGGTGGGGGGCGCGCGGCCTGGGGCGCGGAACCGCCAGGCTCGGGCGTGGTTGCTCGTTTGTTAGAAATCCCAGTGCTGGCCTCACCCCCACACCTCTGGCCTGCACCCCGGTTCTGTAAGCGCCAGTGAATAAATCTTTGAAAAAAAACTCAATGCTGGAAAGATGGTATTTCGTTTCAAATCAGTAGACAGTTGCTAGTGATTGATTTGCTCTTAATTAAATCCCAAAGCTGTTGTTGTTATAAAACCCAAAGGCTGTCTCTACAATTCTGTGCACAACGAAGCCCCAAGAGTCCAAATAGCCTTGACAGAGGCGCGAGTGTTTGGATGAAGACACTGATCTCCGCACCTCGGATAAGACTACGGTCATCAAGGCAGTGTGGCGTTTGTGGACAAATAGGTCAATGCCAACCATTAAGTCTAGAAAGGCCCCCTGGGGCCGCAGCGGGGAGCGCAGCACCCAGAAGCTAACGCCACTCAGCACGAGCTCCATCCCGCCCCGGAGCTGACCCCAGGGCGCGCAGACCCCTCCTGACCCCCGCTGCCCCTCAGCAGTGGACTCGGTCAGTCCGCCTGTGCTGCTTCCCGCTCCGTCTCTGGGGAAGCCTCTCACCGCCCCTGCGCCTCTGGCCTGCACCCCAGTTCTGCAGGCACAAACAAATAATCTTAAAAAAAAATAAGTCTAGAGAAAAGACTCATGAACCTGCGGAGGGCTGAGTTTGACAACGCTCCCTGGACAGCTGCCGGGCAGAGGGGCACACAGCCGGCCCTCACCTGCGGGGGGTGGGAAGAGCCCCGAGGCCCCGCCCACGCGCCC